CTTCAAGTTCGAATCAACGACATCACTCAAAAAATGAAAAGAAAGAACAGTAAGGAACCCTAGGATTTTTTAACTTAAAATTGCTTTCAGATGATATCAGTAATAGGTCGTAGAGTTCGTGTCTATGTGTGTTAGGTGAGAGAATTGAAGACCCCTTTTATATTTCCATTTAAGGCTCTAGGGTTTCTCAAATTCAAACCAGATAGTGAAAGATGACGATAGTCGAGTGATGATAGCAAAGTAGAGGTAAAATCAATGAACACAGAGGGAAAATAGCGAGGAGTTTACATGGGTATGGGAAATCGACTGTTGAACTTAAAAATTCATCGGTCAAAGCTCGATTGTCCAGAGGTCATTGCGTCTGACCTCTGGACGATGAATATTGATGATGAGTACAGAGAAAATCTTCATGCATGGTTCGATTTGAAAGAACATAAGAGGAACCAGATGATTCGAACTTTCGTCTCTAAGTCTAGGGTTTTAGATTTAGGGATTTCGAATTCAATCAATGAAAATGGAAAAATCGGCTAGATTCACAGATGTAGGGGGCAAAGGGGATGATTTGAAGACCAGATTTGAGATCTTGCACGAATTGGTGCAAAGTCTATGATTGATTAGGGTTGATGGTGCTTGAGAGACGGAATAGAGAAAAGGGAAACTAGGGCAGCTGTTTTGGAAAAATGAGATAGGGTTTGGGGTGTCTCCAAGTTAAGAATGGGAGACGGAACGAGAGTCGTTGGATCTGTTGATCAACGACTCCAATTATTTTGTAATTAGGTTTTTTATAAATGATTTAAGTGGAAAAATTAGTGGCCGTTAGATCAAAATAATTTGGATGGTTGGGATTTGATCTCTAGGGGCGGGTATTTAGATTTAATGGAATGTCAGGGAATAAATGTGAGTCGCTGATATGTGGAACAGATGACTCAGATTCGTTTGTGCTTCTTGTGTGAGTGATGAGGGAGGGTGATATGGCGTGTTGTGATTGGTGCAAATGGGATCACTTGGATTGCCATGATGGAAAGAGATGGGTGTTTGGGTTGGGTGTATTTTCGGACTGGGCTTGTCAATTGGGCCAAGATTAATTTTAAAAATGGTCATTTTACCTTTGATTCAAGAATTGCAATTGTGGCCTTTTGGTCTTTTAACCCCTTTTCAATTTAATTTAAATAAACTTAATAGTTTTTAATAAATGTGGTAAAAATTACAATTATTATATACTACTAATTATTTCAATCTAATTATTTATAAAAGAATATTCATTTTCCTAAATTGTAACACTAACTTCGAATTTCACATAATAATCTAATTAACGAGAAATTAAAGAGTAATTTATTAAATTAATTATAGAACCTACGTAATGTATATATAAAAATTATTTTAATAATCTTAAGATAGTAAATATATTTGTAACTACATAATGTTAATGCTTTGTGATTAATTTTAAAACTAATGCTTGGTTAATTTGTAAAAAATAGATATTCATTGCTGAAAAATACTTTGAAAATATTTATTGTAAATAATTGAGTGTAAATAAATTAATTTAAAAGGGGAGTGTCAAAATTGGCCGTCAATAACTGCCTCTCTTTGACCAGAGATAGTCAAAGAGTTTTCTGGCAAAAAAATTGAACCAAAGCCAATTTTGTCCTTACTTTTAGGCAAGTATTGTAGGAAACGGGGATGGTGAATTGCAGGATTGAGTTAAGGAAGAATCAAGAAAAACTTGGGAATATTGGGCTGAATTGTGGCTTTGAATTGCTTACATACCTCGGGTTTAATGAGGATCAGGCCTCATGTAGTTCTGGAGTAGAGACTTTGGGGAATTGACACTTGCAGGAATTTCCCAGTGTCGTATTGTGATGATACGGCAAGACGGAAGATTAGTCACTTATGGTAGCTTGAATTTTGCGGCATGATTTGAATGATTCGAAATTTTTAGTTTCGCTGATCATCTTGAGCTGGGATCTTAGGCCCGCTACTGGGTTGGTTGTCCCTTTAGCATTGTAGTTCGGTCTCCTGCTAAGAAAAGTTCCACGTTGTACTGTTTGTTCCTGCAAAACAAACGAAATACATGCATACCAACATATTGTAATACAGAATATATTAGGTTGTGGTGTAAATGATACAGGAATGATGATGCCTGGCTGTCGGCGAGCCGTTATTTGGGATTGGGATGGCGGGATACTCGATATTTACTCGATTTGTTAGCCAGGCTGTGTACCGTTCCTCAGCTATCGGAGCATTTGAAAATTGTCTCCGCTTATTGGGAGAGCTTGATTTGTAAAGTGCATCTCTGCTTGTTGGGAGAGCTTTGCACTGAGAAATGTCTCCGCTTGGGAGTGATTGACTAAACTATAATCATGCCTGAAGCTGCATGACCAAAACGTCAAAACATTCAAAATAATAGAAAATGATATAAAAGCATGCTCAAGAGATACTCTTGACTGCGAAGCTAAGTTGCGGCCATCGATTGGTAGAACATCGATGACGAGGTTTGCGACTGTCTATTCTGGCATCTTTTGCTCCGGAGCGGTGATGTGAATTGATTTGTTGGCGAAGTTTGCTATATACGAGGCTCCGATTGGCGAAACCGACATTCGATTTGTACAGGGTGCTCCGATTGATTGAGCTGACGGTTTGCTACATACAGGACTGTGATTGGCGAAGCCGACGTTCGATTTGTACAGGGCGCTCCGATTGATTGAGATGATGATTTTCTATATACATGACTTTAATTGGTGAAGTTGACGGTTCGTTTTGTACAAGGGGCTCTGATTAGGTGAGCAGATGGTTTTCTATGTACAGTTTTTCCGTACCAGCTGTGTAATTCCGAGGTACGTGCAAATGGTTCAAATATTAGCCTTAGCTCTACCAGAAAAATTCAAGTAAAGGAGGAAGAGGGATAATCTTAAGCAAGTGGCGGGTCCGTCATTTTCCTCGGTGTGGTCTTAGTGCTTCCTTAGTCCCTACTGACCCTACACTTAAAGAAAAATTCTTAGTGGGGGGAGGGGGGGAGTTGGTTCGGGTAACCACATTGTTGGTTTGCCCCGGTCTGGGACATGGTTGCGCTGCAAAGTTTGGTAGATGGAAAGATTACTGTATATACATATATTTTTCTTTAGAAAACATTTCAAAATAACGTGTTTTTAAGGCAAATGCCATCGTTCTGGATTATGACATGTCACGAAAGTTTTTCCACATGTAAGCGTATCTTCTTGAAGAGCTCGTTCTGCTGATGTAGATCTTCTATGATGCTTCTGACAACGCGTCTGCTTGCTGTTGCGACTGCGTCCTAATTTGAACTAATGCATTACAAGGGTTTCCTAAGGTTAAGACCGAACCTTTTCAGGTTGCCTACGTATCCCAAATAGAATCAGGTCTGAACGTAGTTCGTGGGTTATGATGAAATATGATGAAGAGGACCGAGCCTGACTCAGGAGGCCTACATATCCAAATGGAATCAGGACAAAGCGTAGTTCGATTACAACAGATGCAAAATGATGAGATTAAGAATGAAAATAGCCGAGTAGGACTCAAACAACCTACGTATCCAAGTGGAATCAGGTCAGAACGTAGTTCAATTACAAAAGATGACTGAATCCGATGAGGATTGCCTACATATTCCTTTTTGAGGAAGTCAAGTCGGCATAGTTCCTGAGCAACATACAAAAGTGATATTCGGTTTTTCTATTACAAGAGAAGGGGGAAGAGAAACCGAACCCTACATGGGTTGCCTACGTATCCCTCCGTGGGAAGTCAGGTTGAACGTAGTTCTGTTACATAAAAAACCTAACTCTATTTATCTACAGACATATTATCTCTTGATTGCGTCTGAGTTGATAGGCTTTGTGTTGACTTCTCCATCCATTTCTTCCAATATTAGAGCTCCACCCGATAGTGCTCGGTGAACCATGTAAAGACCTTGCTAGTTTTGTGCGAACTTTCCTTTGGCTTCTTCTTGATGGGGAAAGATTTTCTTCAGAACCAACTGCCCCGATGTGAATTGGCGAGGCTTCACTCTATTGTTAAATGCACTGGCCATCCTATTCTGGTATAACTGACCATGATATAATGCATCCATTCTTTTCTCGTCAATGAGCATGAGTTATTCCTGTCTGACATGTATCCACTCTGTGTCGTCTAATTTTTCCTCTTGAATGAATATTAAATATGGTATGTCAACCTCTGCGGATATCACTGCTTCAATGCCGTATACCAACATGTACGGCGTTTCCCCCACTGGATGTCCTCATGGTAGTTCGATAACCCAGTAAAGTGAAAGGTAGTTTCTCGTGCCATTGTCTATGATTGTCCACTATCTTTTGCAGAATTCTCTTGATATTCTTGTTGGCTACCTCATCTGCCCCATTCATTTGTGTTCTATAGTCTGTGGAATTGTGGTGGACGATTTTGAACTTCTTGCAGATTTCTCTCATGAGGTCGCTATTGAGGTTAGCAGCATCTTTAGTATTGATAGACTCCGGTATCCCAAAACTGTAGACAATATTATTTCGGACAAAATCCGCCACTACCTTCTTCGTAACGGCGTTGTAAGTAGATGCCTCAATCCATTTGGTGAAGTAGTCGATAGCTACCAAAATGAAACGATGTCCATTCGATGTTGCGAGCTCTATAGATCCAATCACACCCATGCCCAAGCAGTGAACAACCAAGGTGAACCCATTACGTTTAGCTCATTTGGTGGAAACCGGATGAAATCCCCGTGAATCTGGCACTGGTGACATGTCTGCACATAGCGGATGTTGTCGCTTTCCATGGTCATCCAAAAGTATCCAGTTCTCAAATCTTCTTGGCTAATGTGAACCCATTCATGTGGGGTCCGCATGTCCCTGCATGTATTTCCTTCAATAGACGGGTTGCTTCAGCAGCGTCTACACATCTCAACAAACCTAAGGGGTCCTCCTGTACAGGACTTCCCCATTGAGGAAAACATGGTTTGCCAGCCTTTTGAGGGCTCACTTTTGACCATTAGTAGCATTCTACGGGTACTCTCTAGTCGCAAGGAATCTCTTGATGTCATGATACCATGGTTTACCATCGGGTTCTTCATCTATATAGAAGCAATAGGCATGTCGATCCCTGATCTCTACCTCGATAGGGTCGATACAGTTCTTGTCTGGATGTTGAATCATAGACGATATGGTTGCAAGGGCGATGACGAACTCGTTCTGAATCCTGGGGACGTGCTTGAACTCAATCTTTGTGAACTTCTTGCACAACTCTTTCACGCAGTGTAGGTATGGCAGTATCTTGACATTCTTGGAGGACCATTCTCCTTGGACTTGGTGTATTAGCAAATCGAAATCTCGTATGACCAAAAGTTCTTTGATGTTCATGTCGACTGCCATTTTGATCTCGAGAATGCACGCTTTGTATTTAGCCATATTATTGGTACAAGGGAATCTTATCTTTGTCGATGCTGGATAGTGTTGTGCAGATTTCGAAATCAGGACTGCCCCAATTTTGACTCCTTTGAAATTTGCTACTCCATCGAAAAACATTCTCCACATAGTGTATGATTCTGCAATATCTTCTCCGACAAATAGTACTTCTTCATCTCGGAAATATGTGGTAAGAGGTTTGTAATTCCCATCCACTAGATTCTCCACGAGGTGGTCAGCTAAAGCTTGTACTTTGATAGCCTTATGAGTTATGTACACAATGTCAAATTTGCTGAGGAGAATTTGCAATTTAGCTAGCTTTCCGGTAGGCATTGGCTTCTGAAAAATGTACTTGAGAGGGTCGAGCCGAGATATCAGATGCATGGTGTACGCTAACATGTAATACCTTAGCTTCTGAGCAATCCAAGTCAGGGCACAACAAATGCGTTCTATCAGGGTATACTTGGCCTCGCATGGCGTGAACTTCTTGCTTAAGTAGTAAATGGCCTGCTCCTTTCTCCCAGTTTCATCATGCTTCCCAACCACACAGCCGAAGGCGTTATCCAAGACTGACAAATAGAGCAACAATGGCTTCCCTGGTTCTGGGGGGGGGGGGGGGGGAACCAACATTGGTGGATTTGAAAGGTACTCTTTGATTCTGTCGAAGGCTTTCTAGCACTCTTCTGTCTATTTTGTGGCAGCATCCTTCTTTAGCAGCTTGAAAATGGGTTCACATATTACCTTGGACTGGGCTATGAAATGACTGATGTAATTCAATCTGCCCAGGAAACTCATGACATCATTCTTGCTCTTCGGTGGCGGTAATTCTTGGATTTGATTTTTGATGGGTCCAGTTCTATTCCCTTCCTGCTTACAATGAAGCCCAATAATTTTTCGGCGGGGACTCTAAATGCGTACTTTGCTGGGTTCAACTTCAAACTATACCTTTGCAGGCATTCAAAAATTTCCTCAAGTCGTCCAAGTGCTCCGAGCTCTTTCGTGGCTTTATGATGACGTCATCCACATACACTTCAATCTCCTTATGAATCATGTTGTGAAAGAGGGTCGTCATGGCCCTTATGTAGGTGGCACCGACATTATTGAGACCGAACGACATAACTCTATAATAGTAGACTCCCCAAGGTGTGGTGAAAGCCGTCTTCTCTGCATCATCCTCATGCATTAAGAATTGATGGTATCTAGTGAAACAATCCACAAATGACTGCAGTTCATGCTTTGCACAGTTGTCGAAGAGGATGTGGATATTTGGCAGAGAGAAATCATCCTTTGGACTATCTTTATTGAGATCTCGGTAGTCCACACATATTATGATATTTCTGTCTTTCTTAGGTACTGGGACGTTGTTTGCCAACCAACTTGGATAGTTGGTGACCCTTACCACATTTGCTTCTATCTGTTTGGTCACTTCTTCCTTTATCCTCAGACTTAAATCAGGTTTGAACTTTCTTGGTTTTTGCTTGACCGGCAGTCTGGTATGATTGGTGGGTAGTCGATGCGAGACAATGTTAGTGCTTAATCCCGGCATGTCATCATAGGACCATGCGAACACATCGACATACTGTCGGAGGAGCTCAATCATATTTTCCTTTTGCTCATCTTCTAGATGAATGCTGGTTCTGGTTTTTTTACATCTTCTTCACTTCCAAGATTGACCACTTCTATTTCTTCAAGGTTGGGATTTTTCTAACTCTCCAACTGCTCGATTTCTCGCGGGAGATTGTCGGGCATTATGCTTTCGTCATAATACTCGTAATTTGGGTCATTGCGCTCAACAGTTTAGTTATTTGTCATAATCGTGAAATGCAGTTTTTTGCGGTTTGGTTACTGAAAAGAGAAGCTAAGTATAAATAGAACGGTAAATAAAGTTGCAATATTTAGGAAAATGATTATTTTTATTTCATCAAAAGGGGAACGTATTAAGCATTCACAAGAGGCAAGTGATAAAAAGGTACAGACACGGTACATGACTCAATTGACCGTGCTCTTTTCAAAAGGAAACTTTTATAGTTCCATACTACCAAGACTCCCGGTTAACCAAATATGGACTGGCGGTCCAATTCTGCAGCTCTTCCCCTGGTTTGACATACATGATAGTCGGTGTCTTGATGTCAGTACCTTCATAACATTCTTCAATCATATTCACGAATAGCTTTCACATCCCGTCGATGATGTCATCTTCGGGTACTGAACTCTCTCTCGGACTTGCAACATGCTCTGGCACAAAAACCTTTTTCCCAGAGCTAACAGTGCGCACTTTCCCCTTCGGAGGCTGATATCCTATGCCAGCCCTTCCTTTCTGCCCATTATGTTCAATTGGCTCCATGATTCCATCTGACTTGGCCCCTAACCCTGTTCCTGGTGTGTATCCATATTTCATCATCTACCTCATATCCATCTTGGATCTATATGGTGACTGCATTCCCAAGTTTTGTTCAGTCTTTTTCATCTCGGTAGTCTGCATGATTTCCACAGTGTGGAAGGCACCTCAGTCCATCCCTACAATGAATGGAACAACATACTCCAAATAGGCGGAGTGACCCCACTCGCCATGAACCACTATCTCCTGGCATCCCCACTCAAATATTATGCATTGGTGCAAAGTGGATGGCACGACCCCTGCCTTATGTATCCAGGGCTTGCCCAGCAGTAAGTCGTAGGAGGAGGAGATGTCCATTACTTGAAACAACACCTGAAAATCAACTGGCCTGATCTGTAAGGCTAAATAAATTTCTCCAATAACATCCTTTTGTGAACCATCAAAGGCTCTCACCCTTACGCGGCTTTCCTTGACTTCCCTCAAATAAATTCCTAACTCCCGCAGGGTGGAGAGCAAACAAATATTGACTCCTGATTTTCCATCGACCAACACCTGGGACACTACTTTGTCCTCGCATTTGATAGTGATATGAAGAGCCTTGTTGTGACTTGCGCCTTTGACATGGAGTTTGTCTCTTCTGAAAGTGATCATATTTGCTTTGACCATTTTCCCGATTGTCACGGCCAACGCCTCACTGGTGGTGTTACTTGGTACGCTTACCCCGCTTAGTACTTTCAACAGGGCATCCTTATAACTGTCGGAACTCATTAACAGGTCCATGATTGATATATGTGTTGGAGATTTCTTCAGCTGCTCCTCTATAGAATACTCTTTTCTTGACATTCTCTTCCAAAACTTTGTGGCTTCTAGGTCTGCTATGTTCTTCCTTGGAATTTTTTCTCCCCCCGTGTTCCCTCGATTGACATCTTCTGGAGCGTAGCATCTCCCAGACCTAGTCATACCATGTGCCATAACAAAGTCTATCATTTTGGCCTTTTCTTTTTATTGGTACGTCCATGGGATAGTTTTGTATTCCCGAATTTATTTGTCTCCTGTAACAGTGGCAGGTTGCAGCGGATCAGTTAGAACAGTCACTGTAGCCTCAGTTGTACTATAATGATCGGAGCCTTTTAAGGTGGGACCCTAGCGGCTTCTGCATTTCCTATAGTGATAATTGTTCGCTTCAGGTCATACTCTTCGTCTAATGTGATCATGTTATCTCCCTGGTTTCGATGATTTGGCAGTGGATTGCGATTCACATTGGGTGGTGCCGGAGTGCACTGAATGGATCCGCTCTTGATCAGGGTTTCAATTTCATTTTTTAACTTGAAACAATCTTTAGTATCATGCCTGAGTACATTGGAATGGTACACGTATATTTTAGTGGCATCAAAATACTTGGAGGGATGTTCAGGAACCCTTCCCTCGATTGGATATACAATCCTGCTCTTTTCAATCTTTCGAACAATTGGGCCAGAGGCTTAGCAATCAAGGTACACATTCTAGAGCCCCTCTCTTCAAAGTTGGGACGAGGGCCTGGTGCATAAGCAAGTCGGTTCTGATGAGTAGTGGTTTGGAAAGGAGCGTACGATCATTGTGGGTTTTGGTTGTTGTTGGCTCGAGGAGGGTTGTACTATGGATGAGGGTGGTAATATGGGTGGGTATTATAGACTGGAGCATAAGTGGGTGGTGATGAGTAGTTATTTGAGGAATAAGAGGTGCTTCCGTGATGTAAATTGGGTTGGTAGTAAGGGACGACTGCTGAGACCTCCTCTTTCTTCTTCTTTCCGCTACCGATTGACCCTGACTGGATAGCCTTGCTTGCTGCTTGCAATGCTACCATGGATTGTACTTTGCCAGTTTTTATGCCTTCTTCTAAGAAATCTCCATCTTGACCAGCTCGGGGAACTTCTATCCCATCATTCCCATCATCTTTTCAAAGTATATTCCCTCCTAGGCTCTGATGAAATACTTTGTTAGTTCACTGTTGTCTAGCGGAGGTTGCGCCCTGGCAGCCTCCAACCTCCATCGTCGTACATATTCTTGGAATGACTCAAATGGATTTTTCTGCAGGTTCACCAGTGCGAACCGATCTGGAGTGATCTCTGTGTTGAATCGAAAACGATTCATGAAGTCCTCTACCATATCTTGCCAAGTTCTCCAATTTCGCGTATCCTGTCGAGTATACCAGGTGAGTGCTTCTCCCGTCAAATATCTTATAGATAAATTCATCCTTATCTTCTCGTTGCTCCCCACTCCAACTAACTTGTCACAATATGCCCTCAAATATGTGTGAGGGTCCCCCGTCCCATCGAAGATGTCGAACTTTAGGGGTTTGTATCCTGCTGGCATATCCACATCTGGATGAATATACAGATCCTCGTACTCCAAACTTTCACTTCCTCGGGCAACTTGGAGGCTTTTCATTTGCCTTCTCAACATTTTCAACTGCTCAGATATTGATTCTTCTTTCTTACGCCTGGCTTCTCTCTCCATCTCGGTGTATTGGTCAATCTCATAAGGCACCCTGATCATGACAGGTGTTGTAAAGGTAGGTTCAGAAATGGCATATACAGGGGGAGTGTACCGCTCATAGGTGGCAGCATGTGCCACATATATGTGCTAGTTTGTAGCAAAAGTGACTCTGTGACGAGGAGGGGTAGTCGCATTAGTGGTAATAGGCATTTTCTGTGATGTCTGAGTGTATTGTGGTACATAAGGAGTGTGTATATGGGGATTTCATGGGTTAGCCGAGGTCACCAGAGGTATGACTTGAGTGGTGGGAGTTGAAGTTAGGGTGTTGTTATTTTGGCATGATGTGGAAGGAAAGTGGTCAGGAAGTGAATCCAAAGAAGGGAATCTAGGTAGTTGAGGAAGTGTTGTCACAGCCAGGTGCGTTCTCTGATATTTGTACCTCCTCCCTTAAGGACTCCATTTCCTGGGCCATCCTAGCCACGTGTTCATCATTCCTAGTGTTGTCTTTTTCCCCTGATCGACTCAGGCTGTCAGCTATGACCAGAGCATGTTTAGTTGGGTCTTCTGCGGCTGACATCTTTCCTTTTGACCTTAGATTGTATGGTGGTTCTGCCAGTTTTGGTCGACACAAACCAACTTTCTTTTCTTTTTGGGGTTAATAATAAAGCAAAAGAAAATTAAGAAGAAATAAAAGAAAAATGAACAAGAGCCAGTTTCCTCATTTATATGAGCAGGAAATCACACAGAGTAGATAATTCGTGCATTACAGCTAGTGTATTCCTAGAATTCACGGGGACCTCTCATTGTCGGAGGTAGGCCTAATTCACAGATATTTGACAAACATTTAGACTTGACACGTTTAGATCCGAAGCAATTTTTTTTCATTGATAATTTGGACTTATACAAGTGGGAACAAGGGTTACATCACTGTTTCATAGAACTGCATGGGCTTGGACAACTTGCCCTTTTGCAAAGTAAAAGAGAAAACTAGGGATAAAGGTACAAAGTGGGAAAGAGGGGAAATCAACCAACTCTAGTAACTATCCCCTGAGTTGTTTCCCACGTCCTTCTCTTCTTTTGGATCCTCTTCCAGATCCTCCTCCGGGTTTTCCTCAAACTCCTCCTCCTCATCGTTTAATTCAGACTCTTCCTCTGGATCTTCTTCTGGCTCTGTGCTCGACTCTATCTGGATGCACTCTACTACCTGGTCATCGTCTTCTGTAGGTGGCAACATATGGTCAATGGATCCTGAGATCACCTAACGGTGCATTGCAGTGGTCACCAGGTAATGTGGTAGGATCTCATGATAAATTTGCAAAGCAACCACCAGGTCCTCTAACCAGGCTATACTCTCTCTGCTTGGCCAGGCCAGTTCTTCTTCTTCGTTAATCCAGACGTAATACTCAGGAGTACACCATGAGTTTTGACCCATATGTATTATTACCAGGACATTCCACTCTTCTTGCAGGCTTCTTATCTTGGGAATTGGGATCTGTCCATTGTACTCATCCTCGTATAGCATTGTCCTTGTCCACAGAGGCACATCTTGGATCATACCAAATTGTCTAAGGATCCACATAGGTGAGTATGGTTGAATGCCTTCAAATATGATCAACTCAATGAAGTAATTATGAGGAGTCATCAAGACGCCCTTCCACCTAACCAAGAGATCTTCCAGTTGATCCATTATCCTGTCAGATTGGTCAGCGTTTCGCTCCATTCTTCTTGCCCATGTGGGGAGACCCAATGTCTCATTCTTTCATTGTGGCTGCGGATCATATTGCTGA